CCATGCAGTGAAGTCCCTCACCAGACTCCGGTACTCCTCCTCTCTGTCATCCCTGATGCACCCAACGACGGCTGTGTCATCGGCGTACTTCTGGATGTAACACAGCTCCGAATCGTAACAGAAGTCCGCGGTGTACAGGGTGAAGAGAGCAGGGGCTAGCACAGTGCCCTGGGGGGCTCCTGTGCTGCTGACCACAGTGTCAGACGTGATGTCCTTCAGCCTGACATACTGTGGTCTGTCAGTGAGGTAGTCCGAAATCCAGTGCACCAGGTCTACAAAGATGCAAGCAAAGAGCAACGTGATGGAAAAGAGTAATGTGCAAACTGAAGGCCTTAAAAAACTGGGGCCATTAAACCAAGATACCTGTACTCTCCCATTTAGATTATTTCAAAATAACTTTTACACTTTAGTCAATGGGGTTTAGAAGCCGTTTTTTTTGGTCATAAATATGGGCGTTTTAAAGCTTTAAATGTAGGCCTTTTTTAAGCAATCCGGCCTTAAATCCTGCTCTCTGTTCGCATAGATCCGCAGTAAAATACAGCGCATCGTCTTTTATGTTGCTGATAGAACAGCTTTGTTCCTTTTCTTTTTCATTAACCTTTGGTACACGAGCTTAAGAAGTCCACAGTGTTTCACTGCAAAAAAGAGGGTGAGGTGAAAAAAAGAAAATAGAGGGAAAGAGATAATCATGATTTTGGCATCTTTATTTCCTTCCTGCCTGCTCAGTCTAGGGAGGAACAGCTTCTGTAAAGCGGCAGTGAAAAAAAAAATATCTTTATTGGTTTTCCAATTACCACGGCAGCAGCTTCAGCTAAAACAAAACAACATGGCTGTGTAAAATACATAAAGCACAGATGTTTGAAGACACCATGAAATGATGTTTGTTTTTATTTGAAGGTTGATGACGTTCCTTCCCACGCTTGGCATCATCTGCCAGAGAACATCCGGATTTTGTGCTTGTCCGCCAGCAGCAAGGTGACATTATACTCATAATCTCCATCATGGACTCCCGTGTGTCTGAAAGCGCCCGCCAAATGGTTCTCCTCCCAGTAGTGGTGCCAGTTTCCGTACTGGTCAGCACCAAATCCAAACACACTGACCTGAAACAGAAAAGCAGTTCAATCCCTGTCAATATCAGTCTATATCAGGCCTGGATTATTTCTTTAATTTCCAATATCTTAATATTGACACCACTATTTCCGATTCCCCAAAAATGCATCAGAAATCAGAATTCAGTCAACTCAGGAAAAATAAAGTCAGCAGTTTGTAACATAAAGCAACATAAATGCGGTTTAAGTTTTAAAAATATCTGTTTTTCATTTATAAATATTAAAAAAAAGCACAGTGAGAAATGATTTGAAAACTTAATAATCAGTGGCTAAATGTTTTTTAAATGTCACAGAAACCTTACAGACCAGCCTTTCTCTCATGTTTCCACTAATAGTTTATCTTTGGTGATGAACTCAAAGCCTTTGAGGTCAGAAGGTCTCTCCACCATCACCCTAATCTCCAGCTAACTGCCAGAGGTGGCTAATAGCTTGCTACATTTAGTCAGTCACATTTATTTAAGTTACTTTTAGAGAAAAACTATACTTTTTACTTTAACTAAAGTAATATTTTGGTGAGAGTATTGCTGCTCTTGGTTACTTTTCCTACGAGTAACTGGAGCAAGTCAAAGATCAATAGATATTCTCTCTGGAAGTTTGTTATCTTTCCTGACATACATGCATCACCTACTAGAAAATAGCTTTTAAACATTTATGTTGACAAATTTATTTGGAAAAGTGTTTTGAAATCATGCTATTTATTATTATTTATTTATACTTTAACAGAATTCACACACCTCTCTGTCGGATTAGATCATTTTAACCATTAAATCAGATTTTAGAAGCCAGCAATGACTCAGTACTTGATTAGCCATTTTACCAAGTACTTCTACTCGATTCATTCTAAAATGACTACTTTCTACTTTTATTGGAGTAAAAACTGTTAAAGTAGTGTCACTTTTACTCATCAGGAACAGAATTGCACATAACCTGTCATGACCATGAGATTTAAATTCATAATAATGAGATACTAAGTCATGTTTTTGACTTTTGAAGTCATAATTATGTAATAATTATCTCATAACAATAACTTCAAACTTATAATGGGTTATTATTTTCACTTTCACTTTATTTTTTTAGCAAATAATCCAACATTAAACAACAAAACAACAATATCAAAACAAAACAAAACCAACAATTTACCAAAAAAAAGGAATAGGCTGAAGCAAAGCTTATTATTGCCTACCCTGTTTTTTGTTGTTGTGCTGATGCCATTTTTTTGGCCTGATACCTGGCTGTGCAGTATTGGCTGATATCGATACCATACCGATACCATCTGTTTGAAATTGATGTGTGTGTGTATATATGAAGAACTGTATACTACTTAGATGTAAAATAATTGCCATCATGGCTTTGTCAAGCTGCTGCCTACCTTTGTGAAGCAGGAAAAAGACTAATACAAAGTGAATCTAGTAGAACTGTGCTGTGACTGGGTGGATGTGCTTTCTTCGTCCTCTGACATGGGAGCTGGCTCGGAGCTCGTCTGCCTGGCTGTGTGTTTCCTGGACGGGGCCGCCTTTTACAGCTGCTTTTGTGTCTCTGCTTCCGTCTTCTTGAACCCAGTCGGCCTCGGCAGATGGCCGCTCACACTGAGCCTGGTTCTGCTGGAGGTTTCTTCCTGTTTAAAGGGAGTTTTTCCTCTCCACTGTCGCTACAAGCATGCTTAGTGTGAGGGATTGTATTGAGTCAATGAGTCGATGCAATCAACTGGTTTTCCTTAGATAGAAAACTTTGTATCAATTTGACTGTATGATCTGGTTGAACTGTGAAGTGCCTTGAGATGACATGTGTTGTGAATTTGGCGCTATATAAATAAACTGAATTGAATTGAACTTTTTATTGCCTACCTGGAATGGGTGACAATAGTGGAATAAACTTTTGGCTTTAAAAATGGTATTGGTGCCCTATTTGTTGGTACTCGCCGATATCGGTACCATTTTAGTGCTGGATCGGGGCCCCGCCTGATACTTATATTGGTAAAGGTGCAACATTAACTATTCATTGTCGTGAAACATTTTATACATCATAATTATGACAAAATATCTCATAACAAAGTTTAAATCTTAATTATGAAAAAATTCCAATTTTTACTTTCAAGTGGTAGAAACCGGCTTCTATTTCTACTTGAATAATTTTTTTTTAAAGTAGCCATACTACTGTACTTTTGCTAGTAATTAGGTATATTTATTTAGTTATATTTACTTATGCACATTGTTTACTTTCAGTTGATTCATATTTTTATAGAAATATCTCTCCTTTTCCTGAGCAAAATGTTGGGTTTTAGTAACTTTAATGAATAGGGAAGAAGCTTGTTCTAAACAAAAGTGTTTCAGATAAAGACGCTAAAGCTTTTTAAAATGTGTGTTTCTTTATTTTTACACAAGCTAGGTAAAGCTAACATGGAGGAAGCCTACTGGAAGGGACGTTACATGTAGCTTTGCTTTAGCTGCTGTGACCATTGGTTTTAATAAGTTTAATGATGAAAAGAAAACATGTTAGTGTTCCTTCTCTTTTCTTTTTCATTTGTAATATTTCAAATATGTTATTAATTGGTTTCAAAGATTATATATTTTTTAAAATATAAATATACATACATAACTTTACATTTGGCTCTGTTCTTATTTGAAAAGAGAAATGCAATTTAGAAATTAAACTTTGCATTTTTCGGTTTTTATTCTTTTTTATTGTTATATTTTGTTAGTTTCTTATTTTTTTATTTTGTATTAATCATTTTTTTATTTTTTTTTCCGTTTTTCCTTTTTTCTGTGTTTCCTTATTTATTATTTTTCTTTATTTTTTTCTGTTTTTTAGATTGAGATTTATGGGTTGCTTTATTTTCAAATTGCGTTTCATAGATCACATTCTCTTCACCTCCAGCCCAATACAAATGCTGGCTCTTGACGAGCACATGGACCAAAATATGTTTTTGCTAATGTCCAGCAGACCAATAGAAATGTTGCTTTGCTCCTCACGCCAGAGGAAATCCCGCCCCCTGAAGTGATAAGAATATGATCTGTAGGAAGGGAATTCTGAAAAGGGAAAATTTGGTAAAAAGTGAAAAAAAATAATATAAGTAGAAAGCAAAGTTTCCCTCAAAACCAAACTTAAATATACTCATATTAGAATTTCATAAAATTTTAAAAGAGAATGGGATCTGTAAAACACCTTTCGAAAAGAAGATTCAAAAAACTCAATCTGAAAAAACAAATATAACTAAAAATTCAATTTGAAAGAGATAAAAAAAATTCAAATTTTAAAAATATTTGTTAAAAAAACCGTTAAAATATATGAAAAATGGAAACAAATGAAAAAACACTAACTAGAAAAATTATTTAAATAAAATAAAATGAAACAAATATGAAAGAACTAAAAAAGTAGGAAAAAAACACCTTTTTGTACTATAAGTATTTTTTCAGGATTGTATAGTTCTTTCAAATCGACATTTTCAAAAGATGTTCTTTGCTTTCAGCAATAAAAATGAACAAAATGAACTCTATAGGGCTCATAGATTCTAATATCTGAGCTGCAGATCTCTGCAGCTCCTCTAGAGCTACAGAAAGCCCCTCTGCTGCATGATTCTACTGATCCTTGCTGTCCGTACAGATGGATTGCGATTGTTTGGCAGCAGTTTGGCTTCATCTTCACTTTTTTCTAGACGACTGATTGAAGAGTTCTTACCTGGTCACATATGTGGAGAGCGAGCAGCAAACTGAGGAAGCCAGTTGAGGGATATCGTCCATGACCTTCCAGCCAGGACTCGTGGACATATTTGAAAAATGTTGGACTGTAAATCAAAACCTAAAATAGCCAAAAAAATAAATAGATATAGTTATATCCATTTGAATTGAATGAGAGCACCTTGTTAATAAGCATGTTTAAACTCACCTTATCTTTGTTTGCCTTTATTCTGGGCATAACAGGTAAATATGTGCTGCAGAAAACAGACACACAACAAAATTATAGTTTCTTTCATTCAAAAGAAACAAAGAATAAAACTGCCTTTCCTCATTGCACCTGTGTGAATTGAACTAATTTAACCTGATGAACAGGTACAGGACTAAAAGCCCACACTTACTTTCCATATTTTCTTTTTTGCACTTTCCACCATTTGTCACACGAGAGCATCTGGTGTGAAGCTGAAAGTGAAGACACTAAATATTTAAATAGAGGTGTGTGTGCAGCACCTGCTGGGGAGCCCATGTTTGGTGAGGAATGAAAAATGTCTTCTTTGAATGCAAATGAGGACAAATAGCACTCTGTCCTTTCACATAAACTCATTTTAGAGCCCAGACTGCTTTAAAATGAAGCTAAATCCACAGAACAGAGTTCAGATTCGATGGATTTTGGGGGTTGAACCTGAAATTTCGGCCAGTTGGGTTAAAATTTAATGATGCAGACAGATTACTTTGGCAGCAGGACAACTCTACACTTATGAGTAGCATTTTCCTGGAAATGTCCACCTTCTCATAATGGAATGATTGATTTATTAGCTCTGGCTTTGCTTGGCAGCAGCTCTGTTTTACCTCTGTAGAAAAACCGTTAGTGTGTCACTGGATGGCAATCTGGTGTTAGAGCAGTGGAAATGAATCTGGGAGTGGGACACATGCAGCATGCATGATAATGCATCTGCGGCTTGACAGGGAGGATAGGTGAGGGCATTAAATGTTAAGCAATAACCATGTTTAAAATATTCATTGTGACAAATGTAAAACAAAGTTACGGTTAAAACTAGTTTTGCACCAATGCTATTTTTTGGCATGGACAGGGCCAGTGCGTAGTTAGTATTCTTTATTATTTTGCTCTTTTATCTGACCAAATCCCTCTCACCAGCGTGGCGCCTTGTCTATCGAATGTAAACAGAGTTGTGTCGGCTTGTTAGATCAGAACCGACTGGCGCAATGTTTTGACGTCCGCATGTTGCGTTCAATGGCTTTAAGGTCTGTGTCCCCCGCACGCCGATCAGGTTTGGGGGGTTTTAACACGGGTAGCTTGCCGAGTTGTTTTATGCGGGTAGACACACGTCTGTCAGCTGCTATCACTATCACTAAAAATCGATTGTTCACGGGTTTAAAAAGGTTTTTCAGCCAGTGCAAAAGGGCTATACATCTGCTTCTGTCTCCTTGAACCCCAGTCGGCCTCAGCAGATGGCCGCTCACACTGACCCTGGTTCTGCTGGAGGTTTCTTCCTGTTAAAAGGGAGTTTTTGTTGGGATCCAGAGGCTTGCCCTCAAGAGGGCGCAGAGGATCCCTTCCTGTTTGTATGTTTTTTCTGTTGGGATCTGGAGTTTCTGTCACCTGTCTCCAGCAGAGAGCGCTATAGGGTTTCCTGAGCTGGAGCCTCCTGCACACCTGAGGATCATCAGCCCATCAGGAGACCTCCTACATAAGCAGCAGCCAGACCTGTCTTCAGCACCGGAGTGTTGACCAGTTTTGGTTAGCGGAACCTGAGCCTCAGCTTGAACTAATAATCTCTGTCTGCTCTTGAGAGCAACCTGATCCTAACCAGTCTCTGTCTTCTCTTCTCATAGGAAAGCCCGACTGAACTCTGTAGCTCTGGAGGAGCTCATGTTTGGAAACCTGCCTGCCTGCCCAGAGAAGCCAAACCTGAAGATCCTCAGTCTGAATCTCCCAACAAGTTCTCAGGAGAGAACTAGAAGGACAACCCAAGGTCTGAATCTCGCTAGCCTGAAGCTAAGCTCTGCTGCTGCTGAACTCTCTGCTGGAACCACAGTCTCTGGACCCAACCGGTTCCCTCTCTCCCATGATCAGTCTGAACCTCATCAGATACTCTGTGAAACCGAGTCCCTGGACCAGTACCTGAACCAGTGCTTTGTTTACACTGTGTTGCATCTCTTTAATAAAACTGTTAAACTTTTACCCAGTTTCGTGTGGTGTTCTGCATGTGGGTTTAATCACAGAGACCCATCATGACAGTTTTCCTTTCCACTGTCGCTACAGGCATGCTTAGTCTCTAATAATGGCCTGTCTGGCTGTTGGCGGGGGTAAATAATGGCCGGACTTTTATACAGGCTGTGGCTATAATCAGAGCCAACAATGTTCCTGGGCAGTCCTCAACAACTTGTGATAGTAACATACAAGTACCACAGGGGGGCAATGTTTGCTAACGAATCCAAGCCATTAGCATGGGAAGTCCCATCCTTAGGGCAGACAGTGCCGCAGACAGGAGGTCGACTTGTTTTGTTTTTATGACCGAAATTGCTGAAAAAAACTCGTGAAGTTGGACCAGCTAGAAGAGTGAGGTGCGTGAGAACGCTGGGATCCTTTTTCCACCTGGATCTCCGGTCTTTTTCGCCGTCATATCCCTCCGTTGTCGGACTACTCGCCCCCACTTCCTCACCACCTCAGCCGTATCTAGACCTACAGTGTGTAGCGCAGACCATGCTTCAATATTAAGCATAAATCAAAAATTCAGTTTTCAGTTTATTAATATAGCGCCAATTCACAACATGTCATCTCAAGGCCCTTTACAATTCAACCAATGTCTGCGTCAAGCTCACTGCGACACACTGCTGCAGGAGGATAACCAGCCACACAATCGTTCTGATCTGAAAGACAAATGTGATCATCGGTAGGTCTGGTTGTAACCAGGCAGC